TGGTTTTTTGAGACAGGTTCTCGCTACATAGTGCAGGCTGGCCTCGAACTCGGGGCGATCCTTCTGCCTCAGCCTCCCCAGGGCTGGGATCACAGGCGTGCGCCACCACTCTCCGTTCAAATCCTTTTTTGTTGTTTTTCCAAGCCTACTTACTTGGATACTGGCGCAGGTAGAAACGCGTCTGTGTTGTTCATGGCAGTGTTTTCCGGGGCTGGTCAAAGCGCTGGGCTCCTGAAGTACATTTTGAACTTCGGAAGGAGGGAGGAATCTCTGAATAAATTCGAGTCGTAAACTAGTATCCCCCCAAATTATGAAGAGAGCGCTGCTTGAGTCGAACTTCTTAACCCCCTCACCCTTTTCATGCGTATCCGCAACAAACCACACGCACTTATTTTCGGAGGCGAGCGAAAAGGGTTTCGGCTTGTTTTGTTTTCCTTCGTGGGGAGAGGGGAGTCGGCTCTGAAGGTCTTTATCCACTCCCTGAATCACTGCTGTGTCCCCGGGTTGGGGACGGCGCTGCGAGCCAGCGAGCAGGCTGCCAAGCTTCCTCTGTCTCGCTCTTCACCCAGACCCCAAAGGGCCCTTTCACCAAATCATTAAATCCTGCGGAGGTGGTCAGGCTCGCACTGCTTTTCATGAAATGGGGAAAGAAAAGGGTCCTTGAAGTTCAGGAGAAGCCCAAGGAAAACTCCTTGAATGACATCAAAAGGACGCGCTCGCCGCGCTGCTGGCGCTCGAGGGCCGGGGCGCGCGGCCGCCGCTCGGGCGGGACAATCGGGTCACAGAAATGGGGAATTAATTACCATAGGAGAGGGGCAGCCTTTCAGCCCTAGCTGAGTTTTATTAAACGCCAATATAAATAACAAAACAACTCTTGTGGCCGCGCTATCCCTACACGCCAAAGGAAGGATTATGCCGCGGATTAACATCTTAAAGTCTATGGGACTTTCTGACTCAGGGCTCCGAGCTGGTAATCGTGTTTGTCTCCCGGTTCAGCGATTAGCGCGCTCTTCCCGGGATGGCCAATGTCCCTTTTTGCAGGCGCAGGGCTTAGGGAGGAGGGGCCCTCCCTAGTGGGGCCCCGGCTCCCCGATCTGTCCCCTCACCCGAGCGGGAGCAGTCAGCAAGCCCCCGGCAGTGGCAGGAACCCCACAGTGGGAAGGAGGGATGCGGGCAGCAGGCGGCACGGGGCGGGAGACGGCTTGGCCCGAGCGCGTGGCGTGGCCTGGGATGGGCCCGGCCCTGCCCGGGCGTCACCGGCGGCCTGTGGTCTCCAGGAAGCCTGGCGCTGGCGCAGCGCCCGACCCTCCCCAGGCAGGATCCCGGCGGGGCCCAGAACCCCAGGCGGCGGTGGTGGCTGGGGGCCCACGAAGGCGGAGGGTGAGATTCCATTATTTCCTTTGGATCCTTGGCTCCCGGGACCGCGAACCCCCCAAATCCGAACTCACGCTCCCTTGCGGCGCTCATCAACCCAGTACCGAATCCGAGACTGTAGCAGCCCTTTCCAGCCCTGTTCTGCCAACTGCGAAGAGCCGGGAAGCGTGCAGGGGAAAGACGTTAGGGTTTGCAAACTTTCTCGCCCCCCTGCGCCTTCCTGGGAGCTGCTGGCCGGCAGAGGAGTAGCGCTCACTCGGAATGCGGCTCGGTGCGCGCGGGCCCGGCCGCCCCTCCCGCCCCGGATCCACCTGCGGCAAGAGTGGGGCTGGGCCATTTGTCCCCCCTCGCCACTTGTGAGGTCGAAGTGTGGTCGGGAGGTAGCTTATGGCCTCCCTACCCTAAAGTTTAGGGCTTCTGGGTTGCCTCAAAGTTCAAGCTTCTTAGAAGGAACAAAGACTTTCTAAAGACCCCCAGCCCTGCCCCTCCCCTGACTTCGAGCTTCCCTCCATACACGAGCCCGGCCCCCTTCCTTTCTAAGGCCGGGGATGGGTTTAAATCATTGTGTTCCCATTTCTTGATAACCGCCCACTTTGAGCTTTTGTTCTCGTAAGTAGGATTGCACACTGAAAGAGGGGCTGAAGGTGAACAGTTTGACCCCTCCGGACAGTTCACGCGGTGGACAGCTCCGCCGCTCCCGGGCCATTCAGGCGCCCTCCGCCTCCCCACATTTCAGCCCGCTTCGTCCGGACAGCCTTTGAGACCACACAAGTGCCTTTTCAATTTATTAAAAAGAGTGCTAGAAGCGTCCTGCTAAGGGTATTTGGCGTTGGTCACGTCTTGGCAAATCGAAATTCCTTTTTTTTCTCTGTAGCAAAACTGAGCAAAATACTGAACAAATAGAATTTTGCTGTCCAGGCAGCTGAGCATGAACGGTTGGCTTCTGGTGGGCAGGTGTTTGTTAGCTCATCTTTGGGCCTGTTTCTTCTTTTTTTCTGAAATGATTTTTCATAGACACATTTCCAGAAGTGTTAAAGCAGCAGCACAAACACCCAAACCTCGTCGAGTTCCAAATGACTTAGAAAATTTTAAATAGTGCTTTGCATAATACTCTAACACCTACCACAGTAGGAGTCCTTATTTTCAAAGTAAAATTCTACAAATCCCAGACCACTTGGTATTTAAACGAACTATATTCTGATATCAAATGTACACAACCCCAAGCTTCACCACAGTGTTATATGTGCATTATTAACTTCTCACAGAATATAGACCAGGTATTGCTTCTGTCAGATGCTCTTCCAATGAGTCATAAAATCCTGGAAAAATATAAAACACTGAGGAGTCGGACACCCAAGAACTGATAAAACGCACCTAAAGCAATTCATTAAGCATTGAACCAGTCTGATCTGTTATTTGGAGCAACTTAAGCTTGCCAGGTTTCCAAAGCCCTTGGCTTAGCTGGATTCCAGCTGTGCTCTTCTCCCAAACATATCTGTCATTAAACCTACCCAGCACTTCCTAGCCTAGCCAAGAATTTCAAGCAACCTGTCCAAAGAGATGTTTCCAGTAACATTAAAAGAACCCTCCCTGTGTTCTCTACATTAATCTGCCGGCCTGTCTCTCCTTGGAGATATGCAGCTCTCCAGAGATGGACGCACCACGGCCCCTCCCCTCAACCCATTCTTTCTTTTCATCAGTCTGAGTTTTTCCTCAGAATCTAGCGTTCTCAGCCTTTATTCATTCAGTTTACAAAAACCCTACACCACTCCCACATGTTCCTTCAATTTCTGTCCAGCGTACCCTTGTGGGATTCCCGTTTAGGGGGACTTTGAGAAGAATATTTGCTGGTTTGATCTGAGTGATCATTGACTAAAAAATACTGCTAGCTATATCACAAATATGTACAAATAAAATAGTCTCAATTGGACAATTAACAGTGCTTGTATGTGCATGCAGGGCCAGGGATGTAGCTCAGTGGTTCCGCCACCTGCCCTGCAAGTGCAAGGACCCGAGTTCGATCCCTGGTATGGGGGGGGGGGGAGAAAGAAAGTTTTATAGGGCAATCCAAGAGAGGTCTGGCACGTCTAACATGTATGTGCATGCAGCTAAGTTAAGGAAAGCTCAAGCACCTTTCATTACTGACCTATCTTTTGCTTCATTAAACTCCTGTATGAAGTCCTGATTCTGCACAGAGACCCGAAGGAGAGTGGAAAAGGGCAGACACGGTGTGCTGAGGAGCCTGAATGTGTCTTTCTGTTCTTCTTTTTCATTTTGGCACTTGTAACAAATGAAATCAAACTATTCTGAAAGGCTGGGGGGCAGGCTGGGGAAATAATGCTTTTAAATTTAAGGAAAGTTTGTTTTACAAAGAGAAAAATGGAAACAAATCAAAGGAAAAGGGAAAAGATGGTAGTTTTCAAAAATATTTCAAGACACCGGGAAGTCTGGAGGTTGGAGAGCTCATTTTAATTTTTCACTTGGTGCCTTCTGGTCCCGCTTGCAGGAAGCATTAGGCAAATTAAAATCACGTCCGAACACCAGCCACTCACTTCCAGCTTCTCTGAAGCGCAACTTACTTTAAATTCCTACAGCCCAGCGGCCTGGAAGGTGGCGCTTTCTTCCCCGCCTCTCGGGGCTCCTAACACTCCAAGTGCGCCGCGCTCACACTGAATTGGCACAGGGGGCCGGGCCGCCCGCGCCTCCCGAGCCCGGGTCCGTCCCGCCCCTCGCGTGACGCCCAGCTCGGGTCCCGGGAGAAGGCGCAGCCGCCCGCGGACGGGCGCGAGCGTGGGAAGAGGGGCGGGCGGACGAGCGAATCGGAGCCAGTTTCCCGCCTCCGGCGGCGCGTCGGGGGGCCGGGCCGCGTCCCCACAGCGCCCCACCACGGCCTCCGCCCGCTGTCTCGTTGCTCACTAAGCTGGGGTCGGCACCGGGCCGCGTCCCCGAACCTGCCAGCGCGGGAAACCGGTCCGCCGCGGGTGGGGCCGGCGAGCGCCTCCGGGGTCACCGCCGTCAGAGAACCCGGCCCGGGCGCCCCTCGCCCCGCTAGTCACGTGGGCGCAGCCCCGCGAGGCTGAGCGCCGCCGGCTCACGCTGTCCCCGGGACGCGACCCCGCTGACTGATCCCAGCTCTGGCGCGCCCGGCCGGGAGCCAGCGGGGTGGGTGCGTGCGCGGCGGGGCGGTGGCTGCAGCCGGGTTCCCGCGCCCCCGCCGGGCCCCTAATGAGCCGCTGAAAGGCAGCGGGCTCCGCCGCGCGTGGCTCGCGGGCCTCCCGGAGCCCGCGCTCGCTGATTGGCCAGCTGCGCCTCGCGACCCCATTCATTAATAAATTAGCGGCACGCTCCAGCAGAGCGCGAGCCGCCAATCACAAAGGCCAGCGGCGGCCACTGCTCCACAGCGGAGCCGCGCCCGGCCGCTCCGAGGCGCGGGTGCATCGCGGAGCCGCGAGCAGCGCTTTGGAACCGTTTTAGGCGGAAGAATAAAGGGGAGGGGCGGATGGCGCGGGAGGAGCCCGGGGCGGGGTAAGGAGCCGAGAAAGAGAAAGAAATGAATGATGATAATGCCATGAAAAGAATCAGCCGGGCGGGAGGCGGGGGTGCAGGGGCCGGCCCCGGGTGGCGGGGAGAGGGTGGGAGCCCCGGGGCAGGGCCGATTGTTTTCCGGGGGGTATATAAGGGGTTTTAAGGAGAGTCGTGTGCCAGACACGCAGCCCCTGAACCACAAGCGGCTTCGCGTTAACTGGAGAGCCGGGGAGTCGCGTGCCAGGAGCCAGGGCCGAGTGACGGACGGACGCGCACCGCCACAGCCGCACACGACACCGGGCGCTCGGACTCCGTGGCCCCAGGTTCCCTGCGGAGCCGCGGCTGCAGCGCCCGGGCGCGGGGACGAGCGCGCCAGGTGGGTCCCCGCTGCGGCCCAGCCTCGCCCCTCGCCCTCCCCCAGCCAAATCGGCCGCCAGCCCTGCGCGTAGCGCCGCACCGGCTCCCTGGCGGCGCGTCCCGAAGCGGGGTGCTGCGCCGCGGGCCGCCTGGCCGGGCTTCTCCGTCCCTTCCTCGCCAGCTCTCGGAGCGCAGCCTCGGCCCGCGCGTGTCCCCATCCACGCACGACTCACGCGTGCCCCCCGCCTGCTCTCCTCCGCAGGATGTTCGTCAAGTCCGAGAGCCTGGAGCTGAAGGAGGAGGAGGACGTGCTGGTGCTGCTGGGCGCTGCCTCCCCGGCCTCGGCCGCCCTGACCCCGCTGTCGTCCAGCGCGGACGAGAACGAGGACGAGGAGCGGGCCGCGCGGGGCGGGGCTGGGGCGGCGGGGGACGGGAGCTGCGGGCCGGCGCGGACGCCGGGGCTGGGGCTCGAGTGCAAGCGGCGGCCCCCGCGCGCCCGGGCGGCCTCGCGCGGCGCCAAGACGGCGGAGACGGCGCAGCGTATCAAGAGGACGCGCAGGCTGAAGGCCAACAACCGCGAGCGCAACCGCATGCACAACCTCAACGCGGCGCTGGACGCGCTGCGCGAGGTGCTGCCCACCTTCCCGGAGGACGCCAAGCTCACCAAGATCGAGACGCTGCGCTTCGCGCACAACTACATCTGGGCGCTCACCGAGACGCTGCGCCTGGCCGAGCACTGCGGGGCCAGCCTGCCCGGGGCGCTCTTCCCCGAGGTCGCGGGCGCCGCGCCTGGCGGCGACGGGGACAGCCCGTCGCCCGCCCCCACGTGGAGCTGCGCCGCCAGCCCCGCGCCGTCCTCCGCGCCGTCCTCCAGCGCCACCTCGCCTCACAGCTGCACTTTGTCGCCCGGAAGCCCGGCTGGGTCCGACTTGGACTACTGGCCGCCGCCCGCCGCCCAGCACCGCTGCGCGCCTCGCCTGCCCCTGGCCGGGGACTGCGTCGGGCCTTAGCGGGCCCGTCCTCGAGCACCGGGCCTCGTCCTGCTTCCGGGCAGGCGGCCTTGTGGGGCTCGGCCCGGCCCTGCCCGGGGAGTGGGGTCTGGGCCTCCGCCCGGGCTCCCGGCCCTGGGTGGCGCGGGCGGACTCACGCTGCCCCCTGTCCCCGCCGCTTGGGACTCGCTGGGAGCCCCGCCACTGGCGCCGGGTCCCCTCACCTCGCTCCGGCGTAGAGATGGTAACGTCGCTAGAAAGCAGCGCATCCCAGCAGCTGAAAGATTGCAGGGCAAGGGCGGTATCCACAGAGCAGCGCCGCACCTGCTTCTTCCACTGCGGGCCGCGGGCGTGGGAACCTCACCTGTCAAGCCAAACTTCCCTCTTTGATGCGCACTTTGTTCCTTTTCCCAGATTCGTCACAATGCCCATTGTCCGGTCCTGCTCCTTCCTTTTTCTTCCCCATTGGGCCATCTGCCTCTTATGATTTATAAGGGGGAAAAAAACTTGTTTTGTGAGAGGGCCAGGTTAGAAGTCATTGTATAATTTGTAGGCTTTGTGACGATTGAATGCAAGCGTGGAAATTTAGGCTGAACTCTCTATCAAAAGGAAAAAGTGGAGGAACAGGGAAAAATCAGGAGGGAGGATTGCTTCATGCATTATTTATCTCGACCTTTTAGGGAAGGAGGAACTCTCCATTCTTTCAAGAGATTAAAAAAAATCAGCAGTCTGAAAACCCGACCAGACACGGAGAATTACCAGGATCAGCCTCACACGTGTTTCCTTCTATTTATTATAAAGAAAAATTTCATGGGAGAATTATGTATTTTTTGTATATTCTACAGAGTTTATTCTAGTATGTATTTACATCTTGAAGAACAAGAAAATCGTTCTTGTGATTAAGCTATAAATAAATATCTAATTTTCATAAGTTTTTTGTGTTGTAACCGTTTCTTACGGATGTGATTTTTAATGCAGAATGAGTTATGTTTTCTAAATCTTCTCCCCCTGTGAAATAGAAAGCTTGTATTTGAGGGCAATGTTTGGTGTGGCTAAGAAATGACAAAAAGCTGAATCTTATTTGAGACTCCAGATCTAAAATAACAGTGAAACACTCAATACAAAGCACAAACTTTATAAGAAATCAATTTATTCAGTGATTTAAAAATCATTCAACAAATGTGAGGAAAAAAAAAAGGCGGGGGGGAGGAATTTAAATGACAGTCAAGTCACAGTAAGCGCCAAAGCTCGGAGAAACTTCGTTTTTAAAAACCGCGCAGTTGAAATTTCTTGGTAGCATGTATAGAAATTTGGTTCTTACACTTCACTCCTTTTGGTTTCGAACTTTAACCCAAAGGGATTGGGTAGTGAACCCTGACAGGCCCCTTCCAATGCACAGGTCTGTGAGGTGCAAGCACTTATATGTTCATTACTGGAAGCTGATTTTGTATTCACCATTTTAACAAGCTAGTTGGCTTGAAAAGCAAACTCCTGCTGGAAAAAAGAAAATGTCCAGAGTGAGCTTGAATAGACGGTATACGTGAATGGCTCTGCCCTCTCATCTCTGCTAATTACCCAGCCAGAACTTCTTCAAGAGGAGTGAACTGTGCACCTCTCACTTTCACCTGCAGTGCAGAGATGAGTGACCTCTGCTTGGCCTTGGCTTAATAGTGACCAAGTGAAGGCAGTCCCCATTCTGCATGTAAATCCTTTAGGGGAGGACACATGCTTAAGAGAATCATGTGTTGTTTGTTTTTTTTTTAATGGTGGTTCAAGGAATCCCCCCCCCCCCCGTGAATGCCGTATCTGCTCCTGCTTTGAGCTAAATGCTCCACTCCTTCGGCAGAAGCAATGGTACTTTCTCCCGAAATGTCTGAAACTGCTCCTCTTCTCTACCTGTTTGGAAAATACTAAGTGCATAATAGTTCAGTGAGTTCATTTTAGTCAAAGGAAGAACCAACTCCAGGTTTTTGTTTTTTATTTTCATGCATTTCACATTAGAGGGACCTGTTGGAACATCCCTTCTAATTTAAAGCTTATGCTATTATTCCTAATTAAGAACAAACTGAGAACCTGGTATGGGGAGAAAGTGATATATCTCTTATCCATATGTATGTTTTCAGTGTTTAAAAAGCCGATTCAGCAAGCAAGGCAATTGTGTTCTGAGAGTCTGCAAACATCAGAGTCTTGGTGCTGCTCTGGTGATGCCTGGGCCCCTATGGGAAGAGTCGGGATGCTCATTCTTCCTGCTGTGGAAAACCTCCCCAGTGGGTGAGGGGAGCTGATCCCATAATTACATGACCCAAATGGCTTAGCTGAAGAGGCAGGGATGGGTGGATGGCCCAATATTCTTAGTTTTAATTATTATCTATTTTTTTGGTGATAGGGTCCATGTAGTCCAGGCTGGCCTAGAACTTGCCATCCTCCTGCCTCAGCCTCCCGAGTGCTGAGATCACAGGTGTGCACCACCACATCTGGCTCAGGAGAGCACTACAGCTCACAAGTCAGCCCCTGGCCCAGCAGCACTCCCAGTCCTGTCTGCAGGGTTTCTCCGGGCCCAGACATGTGGCCGCATTGTCAGAGACACAGCTGTGGTCCCATAGACAGCAGCAATGTGTCATGTGCGGGGCTCCGTCTGCCATCTGAGACCCGACGCTTTACTTCACACCAACTTTGCACACGTACCAGTTAGGTGTCCAGCCATCTGCGAGGTGAGCAATGCGGTTCTCAGCGCACCTGGGCCTAGGTGTCTCCTTCCCTCCTACCCCACCCTCCCCAGCCCAGGGTCCTCTGGCACCGGGGAGCAGACTGCTGAGACTGCTCCCCAGTCCATGGGGACCTCGCTGTGACCGTTGCTTCCTGGGGCCTGCAGCACAGTCCTAGCCTGGCGGCTTCTGATGTGTATTCCCACAGCCCTGTGACCTCTGCCCCAGACAGCTCCACACTGCAGCGCTGTGGATCTTCCCAGCCCCTGGTGCGTCTGCCCAAGGTGGAGAGACTGCCTGTCCTCTTTGCACAGGGCCTCAGCCCGGCTGAGCGTCAGCATCACTTGTACTTATTTGTTTGGAAGTATTCAGGCCTTGTTACGGCTCACTTTTCCTTCACCACATTTTTTGGGCGGGGAGTACTGCGGATTGAACCCAAGGCCTTTGCACTAAGGTACATCCTCATCCTTTCCTTTTCCTTTTTTTTTCTCCCCAGTATCTGTGATTGAACTGAGGAGCTTGCACTCATGAGGCAGGCATGGTGCCACTGAGCTAAATCGCTGGCCTTCTCCTTAGTTAATTTTAATTTTGAGACAGGGCCTTGCTAAGTCACTAAGTTGCCCAGATTGGGCTTGAACTTGAGATCCTCCTGCCTCAGCCTCCCAGAGTGTTGGGATTAAGGTGTGCACCACGGGCCGCCTATAGGGACTGAGGGTTCTGGGCCTTGATGGCCGCTGGAGAGCCAGGACCCAGTCCATCCTCCCCAGAGCCCAGCCTGATGACCCCCACGGCCGGGCACTGAGCCTGGAGGCACAGGGTGCGCTTCTCCCTGTGTCTCACTTTGTAGTTTAGGCCGCCTTTTAACTATGTGGCTCAGGCTGGCCTCGAACTCCTCCTGACTTGATCCAATAATGTTCGTGTCCTCGGACGGAGTCAGCACGCGGCGCCTCCGGGAGCTTGAAAGTCTGGACGGTGACAGAGTTCTAGGGAACCGGTCCGATCCCCCCCGCGGGCTGCGCCGCCCAGAGAGCGCGCTGGGGTCTGAGCTACTGTTCCCCGCCCCTCCAGGGCCACCCTTGTGATCAGTAGCTCCTCCTCCACTTTCTTTATTCTTAAGAAAACAGGTATTGGCAGTCAGTGCTTTGATGTGGCCTGGACGCAGAGGAAGGGCGAGGCGGCCCGGGTCCCAGGCTGTGGCCGGTGAGCCTGCTGACCCCCGGGCTCCGGCCCGCAGCTCCGGCCAGGCCCGTGCGGGCCTTGGGCTCCGCGGCGCCTCCGCCTCGCCCGGGGGTGGGGGTGGCACCCGGCGTCGGGGGCAAACCGGGCTGACTCGGGACAGGCGCACGCGGTGTCGCCCGGGCCCCTCTGGCTCGGCTCGCACGGCAGAGGTGGAGGCCTCCTGAGCTCGCTCCCTCGCTTCCTCCCTTTCACCTTGCCGCCGCGACCTCTCCGTAAGCCCCGGGCGTTCTCGCCATTAGCGTCTGCCCGACGACGCAGGGCTCCGGCGAGCGGGGCGGGGCTGCCTGGCTCCCCAGCTCTGACCACGGGAAGCGGAGAAGGTGGACTTCGGGGTCGCGGGCGCGGCAAACACCGTGCTTGCTGCCCCCAACCGCAGATGTCAGCAGCCAAGAGCCCGCAGCGCGGCGGCGCCCGGGGCCTGAGCAGGCTGTCCGCGGCCTGCCCCGAGCGTTCCCGCCCTGCGCAGCCTCAGGGCGTTGGCTGTGCCAAGGTTGCGTGCCAGGCTCCCCACCTGCTCCTCCCTTCCTTTCTTCCGCCCGTTTCTCTTCATCCGTGCTCACATTCTCACCCTCCACTTCCGCACGCCTCTGCCCGTCCCTGGAGGACACGTCGACGGGGTAGAAAGAGCAAAGGCCTCTCATCTGCTCTGTGGGCCGCAGAAACAAAAGTGCTAAAGCCCACGGAAAAAGGAAACAGGAACCTTTAAGTTGTAGACAGCACTCAGGGCTGGTTTCCATGGCAGCAGCTTGCCATACAGGCTAATTCCACGTGACGAAGAGGACCTCTTCCTTTTCAAACATGTTTATGATCGCTTTGTGTGCTGTGTTTCGGCATCAAAGCTCCTCTCTACTGTCGGACTCCGGGACGCTCTTGGACCCCAAAGGAGGTTTATTGCCTCCTTCCTTGGCATAAGAATGGTCTAACTCATCCGAGCAGAGTTACCCCACAGGCTGGCCGCTGCTTCCCAGCAATACATAAATCTTGCTGGGCACCCAGGGATTAGAAATGAAGAACTCCTGGGTAACCTTATTTTGATTTTGAACTTTTCAAGCTTTTATATCTGTTGAAACAGCCCAAGCAAACGAATACAAGATGGGACTCAACGTGAGGATGTGATCAATTTATCTTCCAGCCCAACTTTGAGACAGTTTTGGAAATTATGTCATGTAGGGTCCAACCTTGAACCTACCAGGTCCTCGATAGAGGAACAGTTAGCATCAGCCACTCGTCCTGCTTTCATGGCACAATGCCTGGGACATAATCAAACTGGGTTGTTTAAAAATCGAA